CAGGCTGTTACTGCTGGCCACACACAAACTGACATACGAACCACAGCCCGGTTGGTCAAGTACTGACTAGGTGCCTGTCCAGTGCCTTCTTGAAGACAGCCAGGGGTCTATTGGTAATTCCCCTTATGTATGCTGGGAGACAGTTGAACAGTCTTGGGCCCCTGACACTCATTGTGTTGTGTCTGTGTACTCGTGGCACCCCTACTTGGTTTATTGGGGAAGTGTTGCATCTCCTGCCTTGTCTTTTGCTTCCATATATGGAGTGATTTTCTTGTGCAAGTTTGGTACTAATCCCTCTAGGATTTGCCAAGTGTATATTATCATGTATCTTTCTCTCCTGCATTCCAGGGAATACAAATCAAGGGAATGTAAAGAGCAACTTAGAATACCTTTGGCTAATCTTTTTAACATATCACTACAAACTGGCATAGTGCCTGATAAGTGGAAAATGGCAAATGTAATACAGTGGAACCTCAAAAATCGAACTTAATCCGTTCCAGGAGCTAGTTCTAAATTCGAAAAGTCTGAAATTCGAAGCAATGTTTCCCATAAGAAATAATGGAAATACAATTAATCCGTTCCAGAAACCCAAAAATATTCACACAAAAAATACATTTTATAGAGATTAATTACAGTTTTACATACAACAAATACTATAGTTTTTAATTATGTATAGTAATACATATAAAATAACATTTTTACTTACCTTTATTGAAGATTGGTGATGGCATCTGGAAGATAGGGAGGAGGAGAGAGGGAGTTGGGGTTAGTGTTTGGAAGGAGAATCCCCCTCCACGAGGACTTCAGGTAAAGCCCTCTCTGGGGTTACTTCCCTTCTCTGTCTTTTAATGCCACTAGGACCAGCTTGAGAGTCACTGGACCCCTGTCTCACAAATAACTGTCCACAGTCCTCTGTTTCTGGCACCTCTTTAACATTTCCCTAAAATGGGACATGGTTCTGTCACTGAACTTGTTGCAAAGATGGCTTGTTTCAGCTTGCTCAGGGTGGTACTTCTGCACAAACATTTGGACATCATTCCACTTGGCACAAATCTCCTTAATCTTTGAAGAAGGCACCTCATCCACTCCCTATATTAACACCTTTCGCAACATCAGCTTCCTTGATTTGTTCTTTCTCTGACAGGATAGAACCGATGGTCGACTTGTTTTTCCCATACATCCTGGCAAGCTCAACAAGTCTCACACCACTCTCATACTTCTGTATTATTTCCTTCTTCACATCTATGGTGTTTCTCACTTTCTTTACCACAGGGGTACCACTAGCAAGTTTTTTTGGGCCCATGGCAGCGTATTTCACAGTCCCATAAGCACTAAACGCAACGAAATAATCGTAAAATGCGTGAATGAGAGCGCAGGTTAGTGTTCACTCAAGCATAAACAAAGCTAGACTGCTCACGGCACCTGCACGGGGACGTGGACGGAGCGGGCCGGCAGACAGGTCCCGTACCTGGCGGTCCGAAAATAGGGGCGCGTTCGATAATAGGGACAGTTTGTCCGAAAAAATGGTCCTATTTTCGAAACGTTCGATATGTGATACGTTCGATTTTTGAGGTTCCACTGTACCTATTTACAAGGCAGGTGACAGGTCCTTGGCTTCGAACTATAGACCAATAAGCCTTACCTCCTTAGTGGGAAAATTTATGGAATCAATAATTACCGAAGCAATTCGTAGCCTCCTTGATAGGCACAGATTGATTAATGAATCTCAGCATGGTTTTACAAAGGGGCGTTCCTGTCTTACGAATTTACTAACTTTTTTCACTAAGGTGTTTGAGGAGGTAGATCATGGTAATGAATACAATATTGTGTATATGGACTTCAGTAAGGCTTTCGATAGAGTTCCACATCAGAGGCTATTGAGGAAACTTAAGGCATACGGAATAGGAGGAGAAATTTTTTCCTGAGTAAAGGCATGGCTGACAAATAGGCAGCAGAGAGTTTGCATAAATGGGGAGAAATCAGAATGGGGGCACATCACAAGTGGTGTTCCTCAGGGGTCAGTGTTGGGCCCGTTGTTGTTCACAATTTACATAAATGACATTGATGAGGGAATGAATAGCAACATAAGCAAATTTGCTGATGACACCAAAATAGGCCGTCCAATTCATTCTAATGAGGGCACTAGAGCACTCCAGGATGATATGAATAGACTGATGCAATGGTCAGAGAAGTGGCAGATGCAGTTTAATATTGACAAATGCAAAGTTCTAAATGTTGGACAGTTAAATAACCATGCCACATATAAACTAAATAATGTAGATCTTAATACTACTGATTGCGAAAAGGATTTAGGAGTTCTGGTTAGCAGTAATCTAAAACCAAGACAACAGTGCATTGGTGTTTGCAATAAAGCTAACAATTCTTGGCTTCATATCTAAAAGTATAAATAATAGAAGTCCTCAGGTTGTTCTTCAACTCTATATATCCTTGGTTAGGCCTCATTTAGACTATGCTGTTCAGTTCTGGTCACTGTATTACAGAATAGATATAAATGCTCTGGAAAACGTACAGAGGAAGATGACAAAGATGATCCCATGTATCAGAAATCTTCCATACTAGGATAGACTGAGGGCCCTGAATCTGCACTCTAGAAAGGTGTAGAATTAGAGGGGATATTATCGAGGTGTATAAATGGAAAATAGGAATAAATAAAGGGGATGTAAATAGCGTGCTGAAAATTTCCAGCCAAGACAGGACTTGCAGCAGTGGTGTCAAGTTGGAAAAATTCAGATTCAGGAAGGATATAGGAAAGCACTGGTTTGGTAATAGTCGTGGATGAGTGGAACAAACTCCCGAGTACAGTTATTCAGGCTAAAACGTTATGTAATTTTAAAAATAGGTTAGATAAATACATGAGTGGGTGTGGGTGGGTGAGAGTTGGACCTGACTAGCTTGTGCTGCTGGGTCTGGTGCCGTGCTCCAGCCTTGAGTGGATGTGACCAGACTGGGTGGGTCATTGGGCTAATCTGGGGGGGGGGGTCATTGGGCTAATCCAGGGGGGAGGACATGGACCTGCTCTGCATGGGTCAGTAGGCCTGTAGCAGTGTTCCTTCTTTCTTATATTCTTATGTTCCCAGTAATATAGGTGCTTTATCGTACTTATGTGTGCCGTGGAAGTTCTTTGTACACTCTCCAGGTCAGCAATTTCACCTGCCTTGAAGAGGGCAGTTAGTGTGCAGCAGTATTCCAGCCTAGAGAGAACAAGCGCTCTGAAAGGAATCATGGGCTTGGCATCCATAGTTTTGAAGGTTCTCATTATCCATTCTATCATTTTTCTAGCAGATGTGGTATACTGTACATAGTTGTGGTCTTTGAAGGTGAGCTCCTCTGACATTATCACTCCCAGGTCCTTCACATTACTTTTTCTTAGCATTCTTAGCAATCATGTGCATATTTAACAGATGGGGTTCATATGTCCAGATACAGGTACAGTAATCATCCCCCTCTCTTCAAAAAACATACAAATTTAAATATTTTTGTAAATCCTAACTACAAGTGAAATACAGATACATACAGACCTTCAAAAACTTTGTATACAATCATAATCAAATACAAACCTTTAAATTTAAACCAATTCCAAATATGATGAAAGAGGTAGTTTGCAGTGGAACCTTGATAAACGACCATCTCCCGACTCTAACAAAGCTCAGCACTCGACCAAACAAATACGACCTGCCAGAACTTCGCTGTAAACTATTTCGTGTTTCTTCGCTTTTTTGTATTTGTATAAATAAGTCACCATTGGGCCTGCAAAGATTAGTGATAACAGCCAACCAAACAGAAAATTGGTTGAGAAGAACTTGTTCGATACTCAAACGGAGCGGCACTCGAACAGCCTTCTGGAATGAATTAAGGTCGCATACTGAGGTTCCACTGTACTATAATTTTCCTGTAATATGATGAATATTAAAGTACAGATTATTCTTAGTAATTGGTAATGCAATTTCCAGTGCATTACAGTAATAATATATAGAAGTAATTCGCTTATTTCAGCACAAATAAATTCTTTTAACACTAACTGTATTACTTTGTTACTTTTTTAATAACTTTTTATATATACTGTATATATTTCTGTATACTGCTCAAAAACACTAGTTAAGTCCTGTCTGCATAAACAGTTAAACTTATAAAGTTTTAATTCTTATTATTGTAATATAGTCCACAGAGATATATAATATTTAGTGTTTAGAGCTTAAAAATGTTTACTAATAGCAATACAGTACATCACACTCTACAGTCATATTATATCAGTACTGTACAGAAAAAATCACAGTATATTTTCCATTACATTTCTACATTGTTAAACCACAGCTGATGCCTACGTTTTGATTAGAAAAATGCACCTCTGCATATGGGGCTTCTTAGGACCAGTGGATTGCCCCATCTTCCTCAGCTATTATATTCCAAATACTGACTGGGGCATGGCATTCTGCCAGGCTCTAAGCTGACATAGATCAAAGCTTGAAAATTACTTTTTGACCAGGTGTTGTGGGAACCTAATATTAAGTATGTATATTGTGATGAACCCTGCTGGGCCAGAGATGAGAATTTTTGTGTGAATAAAACATGACCTGTTCCCTGATGCAGAAATGAGTTTTACTAATCACAATTTAGTTTTATTACTGCAGTAACAGATTTTAACTAAGAAAGAACACACACACAAATAACAAGTTTGAATCTTTTTTTAAATTAACCTCTTGTATTAATACTAAAAATCCCAGTAAATTAAGGCAGAAGACTTAAACAACTTGTCTAGCTACAGTACATACTTAAATTGTAAATCTGCTTGTAGTAATCAAATATTACGTATCTTCAAACGCTTAATGACTCTTGTGCAATTACTGGCCTTAAAGTTAATAAACTATTCTAAAAAAGTTTCTTTAATTTATCTAACAGAGCAATTTTTTCCCCTAAAACTATGTGTAGATATATATTATATACCTGCTTCAGCTCATATACTGTACTTTTGTTCTTTACAGATTGAAAAACTGGACATTTATAATGCCAAGAGTGGCAAGTTTGTCACCTCATTGTATGGGGTAAGTAATATATATGTGCTGTACTTATTTTTTTTTTTTTTTTTTTTTTCAGTTTTTTTTTTAACATATCGGCTGTATCCCACCAAGGTAGGGTGACTCAAGAAAGAAAAAGCTTCACCATCATTCACTCCATCACTGTCTTGCCAGAGGTGCACTTACACTACAGTTATAAAACTGCAGCATTAACACCCCTCCTTCAGAGTGCAGGCACTGTACTTCCCATCTCCAAGACTTGAGTCTGGCCAGCCGGTTTTCCTGAATCCCTTCATAAATGTTACCTTGCTCACACTCCAACATCACGTCAAGTCCTAAAAACCATTTATCTCCATTCACTCCTATCTGACGTGCTCACTCATGCTTGCTGGAAGTCCAAACTCCTTGCACACAAAACCTCCTTTACCCCCTCTCTCCAACCTTTCCTAGGCTTACTCCTACCCCACCTTCCCTCCACTACTAATTTATACACTCTTGAAGTCATTCTGTTTTGTTCCATCCTCTCTACATGTCCAAAACTCCTCAACAACCCCTCCTCAGCCCTCTGGATAATTGTTTTGGTAATCCCACACCGCTTCCTAATTTCCAAACTACGAATTCTCTGCATTATATTCACACCACACATTGCATATCAAATTTTTAGCCCATTAATTTATTCAAACACACATGCTTCCTTCCCAGTCTGAGGGGCAAACACACAAACCAGTTAATTTGTGTGTATCTTCACACATGCAGTAATGCTACCATTTTAATGTGTATAGTATGTGTGTATTCTCTTTACCTACTGTAGCTTTTGTGAACCTATTTTATTTCATACAACCAGTTTCATGGTATCTCTATTTTAAGGGTCATCATTCCTATCCTTAAAACTGTGTATGTAGTTTGCCTTCTCTGCTTCGTTATTTGGGTCTTTATACTTTCTGACCACCCTCGGGCAGAAAACTCTTGGTATTCCCGAACATCCATGTAATTCAAGCACATTTTTTGACTTCCATCTAAGCCTTTTCGTCTGTACTCTTCAAACAGTCTTTTGTGCAGTTTCATTTCTAATTACGACTTTTATATATATATATATATATACGTACAGTATATATATATATATATATATATATATATATATATATATATATATATATATATATATATATATATATACTGTATATAAATGGAGAGTTAGAGGTATTGGGAAGATGGAGGGAATATTTTGAGGAATTGTTAAATGTTGATGAAGATAGGGAAGCTGTGATTTCGTGTATAGGGCAAGGAGGAATAACATCTTGTAGGAGTGAGGAAGAGCCAGTTGTGAGTGTGGGGGAAGTTCGTGAGGCAGTAGGTAAAATGAAAGGGGGTAAGGCAGCCGGGATTGATGGGATAAAGATAGAAATGTTAAAAGCAGGTGGGGATATAGTTTTGGAGTGGTTGGTGCAATTATTTAATAAATGTATGGAAGAGGGTAAGGTACCTAGGGATTGGCAGAGAGCATGCATAGTTCCTTTGTATAAAGGCAAAGGGGATAAAAGAGAGTGCAAAAATTATAGGGGGAGAAGTCTGTTGAGTGTACCTGGTAAAGTGTATGGTAGAGTTATAATTGAAAGAATTAAGAGTAAGACGGAGAATAGGATAGCAGATGAACAAGGAGGCTTTAGGAAAGGTAGGGGGTGTGTGGACCAGGTGTTTACAGTGAAACATATAAGTGAATAGTATTTAGATAAGGCTAAAGAGGTCTTTGTGGCATTTATGGATTTGGAAAAGGAGTATGACAGGGTGGATAGGGGGGCAATGTGGCAGATGTTGCAAGTGTATGGTGTAGGAGGTAGGTTACTGAAAGCAGTGAAGAGTTTTTACGAGGATAGTGAGGCTCAAGTTAGAGTATGTAGGAAAGAGGGAAATTTTTTCCCAGTAAAAGTAGGCCTTAGACAAGGATGTGTGATGTCACCGTGGTTGTTTAATATATTTATAGATGGGGTTGTAAGAGAAGTAAATGCGAGGGTCTTGGCAAGAGGCGTGGAGTTAAAAGATAAAGAATCACACACAAAGTGGGAGTTGTCACAGCTGCTCTTTGCTGATGACACTGTGCTCTTGGGAGATTCTGAAGAGAAGCTGCAGAGATTGGTGGATGAATTTGGTAGGGTGTGTAAAAGAAGAAAATTAAAGGTGAATACAGGAAAGAGTAAGGTTATGAGGATAACAAAAAGATTAGGTGATGAAAGATTGAATATCAGATTGGAGGGAGAGAGTATGGAGGAGGTGAACGTATTCAGATATTTGGGAGTGGACGTGTCAGCGGATGGGTCTATGAAAGATGAGGTGAATCATAGAATTGATGAGGGAAAAAGAGTGAGTGGTGCACTTAGGAGTCTGTGGAGACAAAGAACTTTGTCCTTGGAGGCAAAGAGGGGAATGTATGAGAGTATAGTTTTACCAACGCTCTTATATGGGTGTGAAGCGTGGGTGATGAATGTTGCAGCGAGGAGAAGGCTGGAGGCAGTGGAGATGTCATGTCTGAGGGCAATGTGTGGTGTGAATATAATGCAGAGAATTCGTAGTTTGGAAGTTAGGAGGAGGTGCGGGATTACCAAAACTGTTGTCCAGAGGGCTGAGGAAGGGTTGTTGAGGTGGTTCGGACATGTAGAGAGAATGGAGCGAAACAGAATAACTTCAAGAGTGTATCACTCTGTAGTGGAAGGAAGGCGGGGGAGGGGTCGGCCTAGGAAGGGTTGGAGGGAGGGGGTAAAGGAGGTTTTGTGTGCGAGGGGCTTGGACTTCCAGCAGGCATGCGTGAGCGTGTTTGATAGGAGTGAATGGAGACAAATGGTTTTTAATACTTGACGTGCTGTTGGAGTGTGAGCAAAGTAACATTTATGAAGGGATTCAGGGAAACCGGCAGGCCGGACTTGAGTCCTGGAGATGGGAAGTACAGTGCCTGCACTCTGAAGGAGGGGTGTTAATGTTGCAGTTTAAAAACTGTAGTGTAAAGCACCCTTCTGGCAAGACAGTGATGGAGTGAATGATGGTGAAAGTTTTTCTTTTTCGGGCCACCCTGCCTTGGTGGGAATCGGCCAGTGTGATAATATATAATATACGTATAAATATACGTACAGTGGACCCCCGCTTAACGATCACCTTCCAATGCAACCAATTATGTAAGTGTATTTATGTAATTGCGTTTGTATGTGTATGTTTGGGGGTCTGAAATGGACTAATCTACCTCACAATATTCCTTATGGGAACAAATTCGGTCAGTACTGGCACCTGAGCATACATCTGGAATGAAAAAATATCGTTAACTGGGGGTCCACTGTATTTTCTTCTTTCAATGTACCAGCCATATCCACTGAGGTGGGGTGGATATTCGTATTTATTTATTATATACATGTGTGTATATATATATAATATATATATATATATATATATATATATATATATATATATATATATATATATATATATATATATATATATTTTATTTATTTGTTTATTTATTTGTTTGTTTATTTATATATTTATTCAACCAGTCAGCAGGGTGACCCAAAAAAGAAAGAAAATCCCCAAAAAGAATATACTTTCATCATTATTCAACACTTTCACCACACTCACACATTATCACTGTTTTTGCAGAGGCGCTCAGAATACAACAGTTTAGAAGCATATACGTATAAAGATACACAACATATCCCTCCAAACTGCCAATATATATATATTTATATATTCCAACAAGTTGGCCGTCTCCCACCGAGGCAGGGTGACCCAAAAAGAAAGAAAAAATCCCAAAAAAGAAAATACTTTCATCATCATTCAACACTTTCACCTCACTCACACATAATCACTGTTTTTGCAGAGTTGCCCAGAATACAACAGTTTAGAAGTATATACGTGTAAAAACAAATACGTACACGTACGTATAAAAATAAATACGTATAAAATATGTACGTATTACTTATTACCAAACCTCTTTCTACACATAGCTCAATTAAAGGCTCCCCGTTTTCATTTACCCCTGGCACCCCAAATTTACCTATTACTCCCTCCACAACATTTTTACCCACTTTAGCATTAAAATCCCCAACCACAAGTACTCTCACGCTTGGTTCGAAACTACCCATGCATTCACTCAACATTTCCCAAAATGTCTCTCTCTCCTCTATACTTCTCTCTTCCCTAGGTGCATATATGCTTACTATAACCCACTTCTCACATCCAACCTTTATTTTTCTCCACATAATCCTTGAATTAATACATTTATAGTCCCTCTTTTCCTGCCATAGCTTATCCTTCAACATTATTGCTGCTACTCCTTTAGCTCTGACTCTATTTGAAACCCCTGACCAAATCCCATTTATTCCTCTCCACTGAAACTCACCCACCCACTTCAGCTTTGTTTCACTTAAAGCCAGGACATCCAGCTTCTTTTCGTTTATAAGATCCACAATCATCTCTTTCTTATCATTTGCACAACATCCACGCACATTCAGCATTAGATTAAGAGATTAAGATTAAGGATAAGATTAAGATTAAGAGTTCTTACCTTTATTTACAAGCTAACTGCTGTTACCTACCTTGGCTCATTTGTTACGAGACATACAAATAGGGAATAGGATGAAGTTGGAGCCATCTGTGTTTCTTTCAAATTGTCTCCATTTTTCTTCTTACCTTTATATATTTATTCCTGGTTACATTGCTCACTTCTAGGTTCTCCTTTGTTTCCTGTACAGCGGATCCCCGGTTTTCATAATTAATCTATTCCAGAGAGAGTGACTAAACCAGAATCTGACGAATTCTGAATTAATTTTCCCCATAAGAAATAATGGAAATCCAATTAACCCATTTCAGACACCCAAAAGTATTTACAAAAAAAATGTTTTCTACATGAAATATACATTTATCTACACAGAAAACAATGATACATGAATAAAACAATAAGAACATCACACTTACCTTTATTGAAGAGATGGTGATGTATGGAAGATGGGAGGAGGGGAGAGGATGGAGGAGTTTACAATTGTTTGGACGGGGAATCCCCTTCCATAAAGACTTCAGGTACCAAGCCATTATCCTGGGTTACTTCCCTTTGTTTTTTAATGCCACTAGGACCAGCTTGAGTCACTGGACCCCTGTCGCTCAAAAAGTGTTCCAGAGAGGTCTGTTTCTGGCGTATGTTAGGAATTGTGTTCGGAGACAGGACAAGATAGTCCTTCAATTTGAAAGCTCTACGGCTTATTTATCTAGCACAAATCATATAATGTGATATAATAAACAGTATTAATAACATAGAAGCATGATATATACTCTAGAATGAATAAAATGTGGCATTAAGAATGTCAAGAGTGGTGGTGTTTGTTTTTGGGTGTATAAGGGCCACTGAAAGATAAGCCTTACATAGTGGTGGTGAAGGCGGCAGCAAGAGACACCAGAGGCGGCGGTGTTAGTCAGTAGCCCTATATACCTCCGACAACAATGGAGGAATCAGTTTCGTGCTATCCTTTTTCTCTCGATTAATCACTTGGCTTACTTGCTACACTTTATTGCTTCAGTATCATACATATTGCAGAATCACTGAAAAAAGCACATTCTCCCCTATTTCTCAGCCCTTTACCAAAGGGCTGGCTGGCACTAGGAACTTTCTTTGGTCCCATGGTGGCTTATTTAGCAGTTGCAAGCACTAAAAAGCATGGAATAATACAAAACATATCGTATGAACACGTGGGATCATCCTCATTGGCTGATAAACAATGGCACACTGGCTGTAAATGGTGTCAGACCGCTCGGGCCGTGCGGACACATTCAGGATGAATGACTAATGCCGAGTTCAGTGACGATCACCAAGCCAATATTTTGACGAAAAAACATTACTTATTCCGAATACTATGAATTCCGATGACGACGTAATCCAGGGATCCACTGTATCTAATTCATTTTTGTCTTTGCCACTCACCATCCACAGGCATTCTCCATTTTTTGTTACGCTTTGTCTTGAGGCTTTCTTTTAGGGGAATAGTTGAGACATCATAAACTATTATTTTATTTGGGGGTTGGGGAAATGTGAGGGGAAATACTACACATGAAAGATTTGGTATTTGTAGTCAGGTCTGGGTTAGGCATTTGTGGGGTTGACTATGGTTATTGTTACAAGTTACTACATTTTCATGCATATAGACCCATATACATGTACTATTGTTTCATAATAGTAGTATGTATGTAAATACTGTAAGTTAAGTTGCTTTGATGCAGAACTTATCTTAATTTCTTGGCAGTTGAAATCAACTAGCACCATTTTGGATGTTAAGAAAAGTGTTCAGCAGCAGAAGACTGTTCTTCACCCAGGTAGACAAGAGGTCAGGTTGGAACAGAAAGGCAAAAGTAAGTTAACTTTGAATAATGTCCTAAAACATTTGTAATTAATGTAGTTTTGTGCAATTCCAAGAATAAGGCTTATGCTCTTTCTCTGTAATTTTCTGTCTTTACACCAAGCTTGAGAGTTTCTAATTTTCTGACAGATTTTAAGGATTACTAAACTTATTGTTGCATTAACTAGACAGTTCTTTATAGGCAATCTGAAGAATCCTCAGAGTAGCTACATAGAAGAGATGACTGTACAGTTGTACATTTAGTAATTCATTTGTATATTTTTCCCCTGACACTTACAGGCCTGCAAGATTCAGATGTCCTACAGAAACTTGGCATCAGGTCAGACAGTAAATTGTATGTGAAGGATCTGGGGCCACAAATTGGTTGGAAAACAGTATTTTTTGCTGAGTATGCTGGCCCTATGCTGCTGTACTTGTGGATCTATCAACGACCTTGGCTTTTCTATGGAGACAAAGGACATTCTTCACCAATTTCGTTATGCACTCAGTAAGTAATACTGTATTGAAAAGTATTGTGCTTCATAAGTTTTAGACAATAATTTTTTTATTTAATAAAGTATAATACAGTACGTAAGTATGTAAAGAAAATTTGAATGCAATGTTATGTAAGATACAGTAAACATGCAAATACATTTTGTTTTTAATGTCTAACACTATGTACACTACTTTAGCCTGGCATTGCTCTGCTTGGAACATACTGTATAATTGGGAGATTGGTAGGTTGGTAGACAGCAATTACCCAGGGAAGTATGTACTACCATTCACCAAATGAGTGTAATATGGAAACTTGTAATTGTTTTACACTGAGGTAAGATTGCTGGTACCTTTTTCTTTGTCTCAAACACCTAGAAAACAGGTACATCTTGCTACTGCTACTTACACTTAGGTCACACTACACATGCATGTACATGCATATGTAGTGTTTTCTTAATCATTTATTGTTCTTATTTATTTCCTTTCATCTCCATGGGGAAGTGGAATGAGAATCCTTCCTCCATAAGCCATAGAAATGAACAAAATTTTTAAAAAGTTGAGGAAGTTTGCATTGCATTCGTTGATTTAGAAAAGACATATAGGGTGGATAGGGGAGCAATATGACAAATGTTGTAAGTGTATGAAAAAAAACAGTTTTTATAAGGATTGTGAGGTTCGTGTTAGAGTATGTAGGAGAGGAGATTATTTTCCACTAAAAGTAGGCCTTAGGGATGCATGATGTCACCATGGTTGTTTAACATATTTAAAGATGATGCTGGGGAGAGGTGTGAGATTAGAATAAGCAGAATCTAATACAGGATAGTATGTGTCATAGTTGCTTCATGCCAGTGACACTGCTTTTGGGAGATTCTGAAGAGAAGTTGCAAAGGCTGGTAGATGAATTTGGAGGGTATGTAAAAGAAGGATATTAAAAGTGAATGTGGGGAATGAGGTAACAGATGATGTAGGTAATGATGAAAGAGTGGATATCAGTTTGGGTGGAGGGAGTATATGGAAGAAGTGAATGTATTCAGATATTTGGGAGTTGACTTGTCGGCAGATGGGTATATGAAAGACAAGGTGAACCATAGAATTGTTGAGGAAAAAAAGGTGGATGGTTCATTGAGGCATCTCAGAAGACAAAGAACATTGTCCATGGAGGCAGAAAAGGGACTATATGAGAGTAAAGTGGTACCAGCACTTATATGGGTGTCAAGCATGGGTTTTGAATGTTGCTGCAAGGAGGAGGATGGAGGCAGTGAAAAATGTTGTCTGATGATAATTTTTTTTTTTTTCAACAAGTCGGCCGTCTCCCACCGAGGCAGGGTGACTTCCCATTTCCAGTACTCAAGTCCGGTTATATAAAATAACCGGTTTCCCTGAATCCCTTCACTAAATATTACCCTGCTCACACTCCAGCAGCTCGTCAGGTCCCAAATACCATTTGTCTCCATTCACTCCTATCAAACACGCTCACGCACGCTTGAAGTCCAAACCCCTCGCCCACAACACCTCCTTTACCCCCTCCCTCCAACCTTTTCGAGGATGACCCCTACCCCGCCTTCCTTTCCCTACAGATTTATACACTCTCCATGTCATTCTACTTTGATCCATTCTCTCTAAATGATCAAACCACCTCAACAAACCCTCTTCGGCCCTCTGACTAATACTTTTATTAACTCCACACCTTCTAATTTCCACACTCCGACTTTTCTGCATAATATTTACACCACACATTGCTCTTAGACAGGACATCTCCACTCCCTCCAACCGCCTCCTTGTTGCAGCATTTACAACCCAAGCTTCACACCCATATAAGAGTGTTGGTACTACTATACTTTCATACATTCCCTTCTTTGCCTCCATAGATAACATTTTTTGCCTCCACATATACCTCAATGCACCACTCACTTTTTTTCCTTCATCATTTCTATGATTAACCTCATCCTTCATAAATCCATCCGCCGACACATCAACTCCCAAATATCTGAAAACATTCACTTCTTCTATACTCCTCCTCCCCAATTTGATATCCAATTTTTCTTTATCTAAATCATTTGATACTCTCATCACCTTACTCTTTTCTATGTTCACTTTCAATTTTCTACCTTTATACACATTCCCAAATTCGTCCACTAACCTTTGCAATTTTTCTTTAAAATCTCTCATAAGCACAGTATCATCAGCAAAAAGTAACTGTGTCACTTACCATTTTGTATTTAATTCCCCATAATTTAATCCCACCCCTCTCCCGAACACCCTAGCGTTTACTTCTTTTACAACCCCATCTATAAATATTAACCCGTAAACGGTCCAAACGTATATACTATACAGTGGAACCTCGGTGTGTAACCTTAATTCATTCCAGAAGGCTGCTCGAGTGCCGCTCCGTTTGAGTATCGAACAAGTTCTTCCCAACCAATTTTCTGTTTGGTTGGCTGTTATCACTAATCTTCATAGGCTTTTGTATTTATACAAATAATACAAAAAAAAAAAAAAGCGAAAAAACACGGAATAGTTTACAGCGAAGTTCTGGCAGGTTGTGTTTGTTTGGTCGAGTGATGAGCTTTGTTCGAGTAGGGAGCTGGTCATATACAGAGGTTCCACTGTACTCATTTGCTATACCTTTTTTTTTTTTTTCTTTTTACACCAGCCTTCTGTAACATTAGATAGTCTTGCATATATGATAAGGAAACTTTTCATGGTATATTGGATATACAGCTGTGATACAGTCTTGTATACAGCTTAAGGTACTGTTAGTTTCTTAAAATTTTATATTTGTGTATATTGAGTTCACTTTTTACTTTTTTTTATTCAGAACGTTATCATTGTTTTCAGCATTGCTGCTGGTTGTTGGACGTTTCATTATGCAAAACGACTTCTTGAAACTCAATTTGTGCACCGTTTTTCACATGGTACAATGCCTCTCTTTAACTTGTTCAAGAATTGTACATACTACTGGGGTTTCACTGCGTATGTTGCCTACCATGTGAACCACCCCCTCTTTACACCTCCAAGTAATCTACAGTTGTATGCTGCTTTGGCTGCATTTTTAGTAAGTATAGCATTTAAAATATATACGTACAATAACGTAATTGTATTTTCTTGGGCTGATACAATTTTACTATGTAAGTGGGTTGAGCTATATCTTTTTTTACTGGATGGCCATATTTTCTTTACATGTTGCAGTTTCACCTAATGTAAATTCAAGATGTCAGGATAATAGTATTGAAATCTCTTATCTCTATATGTATATGGGTGAGTATCAGGTGTACATTGGAATAACACAGTGAATCTGTGTGGGGGTGGATGTTTACCCTCCGACTGCAATAGGTCTACTCCATATTCAGAGTACAGATGCTGCCCTTCTTACCTCCAGAACTTAAGTTTGGTTAATTGGTTTACTCTGAATCCCTTCAGAAAGGATACCTTGCTCACACTCCAACTGCCATTCATTATAGACCACTTGTTTACCTTCACTCCTATCAAACATGCTCACACATGCTCAAGCCTCTTTTATCCCATCTCCAACTGTTCCTGGGATGACCCCTTTCCCCTACCCGGCCTACCTTCCACCCAAGATTTAAATGCCCTCTTCGTCATCCTTTTCCTCTTCATTCTCCATACATGCTCAGATCATCTCAACAACCCCTGGGCTCTCTTGGTGACCCCACATTATTTTTTAATTGCTATGCTCTGCATTCTCTGCATGATATTCAAACCACACATTGCTCTCAAGCATGACGTCTCCATTTCCTCTATCTTCATTCTTGCTGCAGCAATCAAAACCCATACCTCAGTGGAAAGGAAGGCCAAACAGGAAATGTACCAAAGTACAGAGGTACCAACATTTTTGTACCTTTGTACTCTGGTACATTTCCTGTTTGGCCTTCCTAACCAAAATAAGTGTCACTTACCTGATTCAGCTGCCATGGCCCTGGAATGATCTTCTAAAAGCAAGGCACACAGAATATGTGTATTAGTTAGGCATACAGAATTCACCTACTACATAATGCAAGGCATATGTAAGTATCTAATGCATAAAGCAAGGCATATGGAATGTATCTATTATATAAAGCAAGGCATGTAGTATTTGTCTGTTACATAAAGCAAGGCATACAGAATGGATTTACTACATAAAGCAAGGGATATGGAATGAATCTACAACATAAAGCAAGGCATATGAAATGCATCTACTAATCAGGTAATGAGTTGGGCTTGAACCTATGACAGGCGAGTCCTAAAACTCGCAGGCCAGTGCGCTGACCACTTGATCCTTTTGATGATTTGTTTGCAATCTTTTCATTATGATTGTTAGTTCATCTACTTCATAAAACAAGGCACTGAATGTTGTTCATTGTGTCTGCCACTTAGTAATGCACACCTGTAAGTAAAACTGCTGGGGTTTTGTCTTTTATTTATTTTACTTAATTTACTTAATCCCACTGTGCTTTTGGGAGATTCTGAAGAGAAGTTGCAGAGGTTGGTGGATGAATTTGGTAGGGTATGTAAAAGAAGAAAATTAAAAGTGAATATAGGAAAGAGTAAGGTGATAAGGATAACAAAAATATTAGGCGACAAAAGATTGGATATCAGATTGGAGGGAGAGAGTATGGAGGAGGTGAATGTTTTCAGATATTTAGGAGTGGACTTGTCAGCAGATGGGTCTATGAAGCATGAGGTGAATCATAGAATTGATGAGGGAAAAAGGGCGAGTGGTGCACTGAGGAGTCTGTGGAGACAAAGAACTTTGTCCGTGGAAGCAAAGAGAGGAATGTGTGAGAGCATAGTTATACCAAGACTCTTATATGGGTGTGAAGCATGAGTGATGAATGTTGCAACGAGGAGAAGGCTGGAGGCAGTGGAGATGTCATGTCTGAGGGCAATGTGTGGTGTGAATATAATGCAGAGAATTCATAGTTTGGAAATTAGGAGGCAGTGCAGGATTACCAAAACTATTATCCAGAGGGCTGAGGAGGGGTTGTTGAGGTGGTTCGGACATGTAAAGAGAATGGAACGAAACAGAACGACTTTGAGTGTGTATAAATCTGTAGTGGAGGGAAGGCGGGGTAGGGGTCGACTTAGGAAAAGTTGGAGGGAGGGGGTAAAGGAGGTTTTGTGTGTGAGGGGCTTGGACTTCCAGCAAGCATGCGTGAGCGTGTTTGATAGGAGTGAATGGAGACAAATGGGTTTTAATACTTGACATGCTGTTGGAATGTGAGCAAAGTAACATTTATGAAAGGATTCAGGGAAACCGGTATACCGGACTTGAGTCCTGGAGATGGGAAGTACAGTGTCTGCACTCTGAAGGAGGGGTGTTAATGTTGCAGTTTTAAACCTTTAGTGTAAAACACCCCTCTGGCAAGACAGTAATGGAGTGAATAATGAAAGTTTTTCTTTTCTGGGCCACCCTGCCTTGGTAGGAATTGACCTGTGTGTTAATAAAGAAAAAAATCATCATCATTAATTTCGCTTTATACATTTGCTGAGATTTTGTATTTAAATTAATTTTCCTTTTTACCCCCAAAAGCTGTGTGAATTTGGAAACTTCAGCATTCACATGGCTCTCCGTAACTTGCGACCACCAGGAAGTAAAGAACGTAAGATCCCGTACCCTGATAGTAACCCAATGACACAGCTCTTTAATGCAGTCTCCTGCCCTAATTACACATATGAATTTGGCTCATGGGTGGCTTTTACTGTCATGACACAATGTTTACCAGGTGAGTAAAATTATGTACAAGTACCATCCGACTTACAACCTGCTCGGCATACGACCACTCATACTTATGACCATACGTCTGAAATACAAAAGTAAAACAAAATAAAATCATTACAATAACTATGATGTTGATATACAGTAGTAAAACCTTAAAAAGTAACATACGGTACTGTGTAGGTACTTTATACTATAGCAAAGGTTTGACATTATGCCCTACCCAGTATGTCAGCAGTTTTCTAAGGTTCGACTTGTATCCATCTTGAGTTATGACTGGTTGGTCGGAACCAAGCTCGATCACAAGTTGGATGGTACTTGTACCAACTTTTATCTAAATTCTCAGTTTTTATTTTTATTTCCATATTCTACTTTTTCATGCATACTATCATTTGTTATATGCCTTATGTTTTGTCATTATTATATGCCATATGTTTTGTCATTTATTATATGCCATATGTTTTGTCATTTGTCACATATCATATGTTTTGTCATTATATGTCATATGTTTTGTCATTTGTTACCTGGAGTTTACCTGGAGAGAGTTTCGGGGGTCAACGCCCCCGCGGCCCGGTCTGTGACCAGGCCTCCTGGTGGATCAGCGCCTGATCAACCAGGCTGTTGCTGCTGGCTGCACGCAAACCAACGTACGAGCCACAGTCCGGCTGATCAGGAACTGACTTTAGGTGCTTGTCCAGTGCCAGCTTGAAGACTGCCAGGGGTCTGTTGGTAATCCCCCTTATGTGTGCTGGGAGGCAGTTGAACAGTCTCGGGCCCCTGACACTTATTGTATGGTCTCTTAACGTGCTAGTGACACCCCTGCTTTTCATTGGGGGGATGGTGCATCGTCTGCCAAGTCTTTTGCTTTCGTAGTGAGTGATTTTCGTGTGCAAGTTCGGTACTAGTCCCTCTAGGATTTTCCAGGTGTATAAAATTTCATGTATCTCTCCCTCCTGCGTTCCAGGGAATACAGGTTTAGAAACCTCAAGCGCTCCCAGTAATTGAGGTGTTTTATCTCTGTTATGCGCGCCGTGAAAGTTCTCTGTACATTTTCTAGGTCGGCAATTTCACCTGCCTTGAAAGGTGCTGTTAGAGTGCAGCAATATTCCAGCCTAGATAGAACAAGTGACCTGAAGAGTGTCATCATGGGCTTGGCCTCCCTAGTTTTGAAGGTTCTCATTATCCATCCTGTCATTTTTCTAGCAGATGCGATTGATACAATGTTATGGTCCTTGAAGGTGAGATCCTCCGACATAATCACTCCAGGTCTTTGACGTTGGTGTTTCGCTCTATTTCGTGGCCAGAATTTGTTTTGTACTCTGATGAAGATTTAATTTCCTCATGTTTACCATATCTGAGTAATTGAAATTTCTCATCGTTGAACTTCATATTGTTTTCTGCAGCCCACTGAAAGATTTGGTTGATGTCCGCCTGGAGCCTTGCAGTGTCTGCAATGGAAGACACTGTCATGCAGATTCGGGTGTCATCTGCAAAGGAAGACACGGTGCTGTGGCTGACATCCTTGTCTATGTCGGATATGAGGATGAGGAACAAGATGGGAGCTAGTACTGTGCCTTGTGGAACAGAGCTTTTTCACCGTAGCTGCCTCGGACTTTACTCTGTTGACGACTACTCTCTGTATTCTGTTAGTGAGGAAATTATAGATCCATCGACCGACTTTTCCTGTTATTCCTTTAGCGCGCATTTTGTGCGCTATTACGCCATGGTCACACTTGTCGAAGGCTTTTGCAAAGTCTGTATATATTACATCTGCATTCTTTTTGTCTTCTAGTGCATTTAGGACCTTGTCGTAGTGATCCAGTAGCTGAGACAGACAGGAGCGACCTGTTCTAAACCCATGTTGCCCTGGGTTGTGTAACTGATGGGTTTCTAGATGGGTGGTGATCTTGCTTCTTAGGACCCTTTCAAAGATTTTTATGATATGGGATGTTAGTGCTATTGGTCTGTAGTTCTTTGCTGTTGCTTTACTGCCCCCTTTGTGGAGTGGGGCTATGTCTGTTGTTTTTAGTAAACTGAGGGACGACCCCCGTGTCCATGCTCCCTCTCCATAGGATGGAAAAGGCTCGTGATAGGGGCTTCTTGCAGTTCTTGATGAACACAGAGTTCCATGAGTCTGGCCCTGGGGCAGAGTGCATGGGCATGTCATTTATCGCCTGTTCGAAGTCATTTGGCCTCAGGATAACATCGGATAGGCTTGTGTTAATCAAATTTTGTGGCTCTCTCATAAAAAATTCATTTTGATCTTCGACTCTCAGTCTGGTTAGCGGCTTGCTAAAAACTGAGTCATATTGGGACTTGAGTAGCTCACTCATTTCCTTGCTGTCATCTGTGTAGGACCCATCTTGTTTAAGTAGGGGCCCAATACTGGGCGTTGTTCTCGATTTTGATTTGGCATAGGAGAAGAAATACTTTGGGTTTCTTTCGATTTCATTTATAGCTTTTGTCATTTGTTATACACCATATATTTTGTTATTTTCTGTATGCCATATGTTATGCTGCACATGTACAGTCATCTGTAGTATTCCATATGTACTATGGTCTGTTATATTCTACATGTACTATCATCTGTTATATTCCGAGCTCTTTGCTCAAGCTTAATTATATTCCATTTAGTTTTTGTACATAACAATCGTGTAAATTGCTAAAGGACATACAGTGCAGTCGGAATGGGTAAAGTAGGTTTAGGATGTTAAATTTGGGAACAATGTAACAGAGGTCTCATGTGAAACAAGACCAGCTAATACGTCTGGAAATGGCCTACAGAATAACCATAGCAGAATATAGAGAAAGATTGAAAAGCATGGCGCATTGCTCAATACCTAGGCCAGTCTCTCAAAACATACCATACAGTTTTTTTTTCATCAAACCTGCCATATCCCACTGAGGCAGGGTGGCCCAAAAAGACAAACAAAAGTTTCTCTTTTTGAATTTAGTAATTTATACAGGAGAAGGGGTTACTAGCCCCTTGTTCCTGGCATTTTAGTCGCCTCTTACAACACGCATGGCATATGGAGGAAGAATTCTGTTCCACTTCCCCATGGAGGTAAGAGGAAATAAACAAGAACAAGAACTAGAAAGAAAATAGAAGAAAACCCAGAGGGGTGTGTATATATATCCTTGTACATGTATGTGTAGTGTGACCTAAGTGTAAGTAGAAGTAGCAAGACGTACCTGAAATCTTGCATATTTATGAGACAGACAAAAGACACCAGCAATCCTACCATCATGTAAAACAGTTACAGGCTTTCGTTTTACACTCGCTTGGCAGGACGGTAGTACCTCTCTGGGCGGCTGCTGTCTACCAACCTACTACCTAGACCATACAGTTGTGATGACCTAACAATTTTCTCATAGCTCAGCAAGGTGACCTTCTATGAGATAACTTTGGCTCATGACAGAAATGTTAAAAGCAGGGAGGATATAGTGTTAGTGGTTTGAATTTTTGTTTAATAAATGTATGAAAGAGGGGAAGATACCTAGGGATTGGCAGAGAGCATGTATTATTCCTTTATATAAAGGGAAGGGGGACAAAAGAGATTGTAAAAATTATGGAGGAATTAGTTTACTGAGTATACCAGGAAAAGTACGGTAGGGTTATTATTGAAAGAATTAGAGGTAAGACAGAGAGTAGGATTTCGGATGAGCAAGGAGGTTTTAGAGTGGGTAGGGGATGTGTAGATCAAGTGTTTACATTGAAGCATATATGTGAACAGTATTTAGATAAAGGTAGGGAAGTTTTCATTGCGTTTATGGATTTAGAAAAGGCATATGATAGTGGATATAGGAGCAATGTGGCAGATGTTGCAAGTATATGGAATAGGTAGTAAGTTACTAAATGCTGTAAAGAGTTTTTATGAGGATAGTGAGACTCAGGCTAGGGTGTGTAGAAGAGAGGGAGACTACTTCCTGGTAATAGTAGGTCTTAGATATGGATGTGTAATATCGCCATGGTTGTTTAATATACTTACAGCTGGGGTTGTAGAAGAAGTAAATGCTAGAGTGTTGGAGAGAGGGGTGGGATTAAATTATTGGGAATCAAATACAAACTGGGAATTGACACAGTTACCCTTTGCTGATGATACTGTGCTTATGGGAGATTCTAAAGAAAAATTTCAAAGGTTAGTGGACGAGTTTGGGAGTATGTGTAAAGGTAGAAAGTTGAAAGTGAAGACAGAAAAGAGTAAGGTGATGAGGGTATCAAATGATTTAGACAAAGAAAAATTGGATATCAAATTAGAGAGAGGGAGTATGGAAGATGTAAATGTTTTCAGATATTTGGGAGTTGACGTCGCTGTATAGCCCTTGTGGCTTAGCGCTTTTTGATTATAATAATAATGGGAGTTGACGTGTCAGCGGATGGATTTATGAGGGATGAGGTTAATCATAGAATTGATGAAGGAAAAAATGTGAGTGATGCATTGAGGTATATGTGGAGGAAAAAACCTTATCTATGGAGGCAAAGAAGGGAATGTATAAAAGTATAGTGGTACCAACACACTTATATGGGTGTGAAGCTTGGGTTGTAAATGCTGCAGCGAGGAAACGGTTGGAGGCAGTGGAGATGTCCTGTATAAAATGTGGAAATTAGTGAAAGGTGTGGAGTTAATAAAAGTATGAGTAGAGAGCTGAAGAGGGTTTGTTGAGGCGGTTTGGTCATTTAAAGAGAATGGATCAAAGTAGAATGACATGGAGAGCGTATAAATCTGTAGGGTAAGGAAGGCGGGGTAGGGGTCGTCCTTGAAATGGTTGGAGGGAGGGGGTAAAGGAGGTTTTGTGGGTGAGGGGCTTGGACTTCCAGCAAGTGTGCATGAGCATGTTAGATAGGAGTGAATGGATACGAATGGTATTTGGAACTTGACGAGCTGTTGGAGTGTTGAGTAGGGTAATATTTAGTGAAGGGATTCAGGGAAACCGGTTATTTTTATATAACCGGATTTGAGTCCTGGAAATGGGAAGTATAATGCTTGCACTTTAAAGGAGGGGTTTGGGATATTGGCAGTTTGGAGGGATATGTTGTGTATCTTAATATGTATATTCTTCTAAGCTGTTGTATTCTGAGCACCTCTGCAAAAACAGTGATTAAGTGTGAGTGAGGTGAAAGTGTTGAATGATGATGAAAGTATTTTCTTTTTGGGGATTTTCTTTCTTTTTGGGTCACCCTGCCTCGGTGGGAGACGGCTGACTTGTTAAAAAAAAAACAAATTAGTATTATTACAATATTATAATCTGGTATAGTATATCGTATGTATAATTAGGATATACTACAAGTGTCATTAAAGTTAGGAGGGCTAGAAATCTTTTTAACATGAAGCAGCTTTTTGGGTTTTTAATAGGTCTAATTCAGTTATTGGCATGCCGTTAACCTTGATCAGTCATTCCTGGTTATATTTTATCATCCATGATAGAGAGTAAATCTTGTATTTCTGTGTAATTAAGAATTCAAAATGGAAGGCTGATGTAATGTAGAAGAGGCCTGAGGACATGACTAATGAACAGAAGGAATGTTTTAGTGTCAGGAATGTCTACATTGTTTATTTTGGACTCCTTGCTTTTAAACTGTTATTTTTTGTTTTATTTTTGTAAATTGACCAAATTACTGACTTTTGTGCTCTTTACTGAGAAGTTGAAATAGTTGAATGGGCAATTTCTTGTGCTCAGTCAATAGAACAGAAGGCATACTAGCAAAATAGGAAAGAATTTGCTATTTTGTTATTATGCCTTCTGTTCTATCGACTGAGTAATGTCTTTAAATAGGAATCAATGGGTGAAATTGCCGTTGTGTAAATTGCCCCGAGAATCCTAACTTTGCGCCTGCATAATTCTGCAAGTTTTTCATCAAATTTCATACTTTTGGTGTAAGTGCCTTCAGAAAAAAATTCTCTGCTATTTCAGAAGAATAGTGCTGAGAGCACTATTATTTTTGGGGTCTGGAGTGTGAAAAGGTTAATGTTTATATAGTCACACAAAATTCTCTAAATCCAGGGAAAATAAGAGACTGAATGACAAGTGTGTGCTTGAGTGAGCTCAAGTAATAGTGGCATGGGTGACCTATGGCTTAGGGAACAATGAAAATAGACAGGTCCTTGACATGATTGCTTCAGCCCATACTGAATAAATGTTGGTACTCTAGAAGACAACTAGGTACCATTACTATGGTTAAAATTCAGAATTATGGACTTTTATCTGTTTTTTCCGATAATTAGAGCATTTGTTTGGACAATTTTTTTGCCCAAAATTACCAAAATCTGTTAGAGGTCATGCTATATTTAATTTTTTATGTCACCTTTACAGTTTTCAGGTTGACAAAAATATTTGTTAGCAGCAGATATGTGCAGTTATGGAAGGAAAGAAAGCAGAATTTAGTTATTTTGAATTCTTAATGTCTGAACTTGGTAGACATTTTGGAAACTTTGTTGTATTTTATGCATATGTATTGTCTTATATATATTTTATCCCCAGAAGCATCTCATTATCTGCCATTTTCATGTCAGTTCTTCCTACTTTCAGCTGGAATGTTTGCTCTTGCTGGATTCTATCAAATGGCTGTATGGGCTCTAGGTAAACATCGCAGCTACAAGAAAGACTTCAAAAATTACCCCCAAAGGAAAGCAATTCTTCCATTCCTTCTCTAAAAGATGTTTTGAAGTACATTATACAATATGTACTAAAAAAAAAATGAAGAAAGAGGTTTATGTTTTCAGATTATGTATATTGTAATACTTGTAATTGGGTTGTGAGTATAGTGTATGGCAGTTGGGGTGGCTGCCCACATCAAATTGTTATCTGTACCTAAAATCATAGTGCTAAATGACCCGTATGGGTTTAGTGCTTATTTTGTGAATGTTAAATGTAGTTGTAATCATAATTTTCTGGATGCACCAGCAGTGTAGCATTGCTACACACACGGCAAAAGTTCATTAAAGTTCAACAGTAATATATGAGGTTTTTTCAGGGAACAAGGGCATGTATAATATTTCATGACAGTTTGTTAGGTAAAAGGACACATGTTCAACCTATAAGAAAAATCTGTATTAAATTCCATAACTATCACTCAGATTCAGTAAAATGTTGTATTTGTTACTTCTTCATTCTCTGTACCATGGTAAAATCAGCTCGTTGAATCCTTAAAACTTCGAGAAACTAATAACTTGGACAGGTGAGCAATTCTTTCCATTTTTATCCACTTGTCACTAAATAGTTTATTATAAATCCTTATATTTGTTAGTTAAGTGAAAGAAAACCATAAGCTGGAGATAAATGGTATAAAATACCGAAACAATGAAAAAATAAATATAAATGCTGTATGTGATCCTTTATTGACCTGTCCAACATTCTCCACCTGACTCTCCACTGTATACATGTATAACTCTTTAGCACTTGGTCATGATTATAATAATTATGACTAGATAAAGCCCACTGTGTGGGTGAAACGAAGTTAATAATGGATCGCATTATACTGCATTTGTTTATTTTTCTAAAACCATGAGCTGCTGAGTTTCAGGAAACAGAAATAATACATTTTAAATTAGCACTAAAATTTCTGGAAATTTTGACAAATCTTTAAAACAAAATTCAAAAATTCTTAGCAATTTTATATAAGCCTGCTGAGTCTGCTTTGATTATATATTGACTGATTTAAATTTACTAAATAAATTTTTTAGCCATTCTGTATAGAAATTTACTCTAAATGTGAATGAGTAATAAAATTATGGAGAGCTGAAACACTCACACTGTGCCTATACTGTATAGTGATAGTGTATCTATAATCATATGTATAGTGTATATTTTTTTTGTTTCTATTAACCACATAGCATATAGCTCGCAGAGCTGTGATTGGGATTGAGATTACGAGCTGTGAATTTTATGTAGAAATTTGAATTGTTTATGACAGGAAATCATTTTAAAAAATATAAAATATATATATATATATATATATAGATGTATATTCTATTTCCAAAACTATTTACCTGGAGTTTACCTGGAAATGAAATGAAATATTGTATTTAAGATGGCAAAAAAAAACACTGATATTGAATGGAAATTTTTAGCAAAATTACACACAAAAAAAGGTTATATTCCACCTTCCCACAACCCTGAAAAGGAACCTGTGGGCATTTTGCAGATTATTCTTCTCTGTCATTCCAATAGATTGTGGAAGAATTAATAATGCTTTCACAACCTGTATCTTCTAAATTTTTTTTTTTTTTCAACAAGTCGGCTGCCTCCCACCGAGGCAGGGTGACCCAAAAAAGAAAGAAAATCCCCAAAAAGAAAATACTTTCATCATCATTCAACACTTTCACCACACTCGCACATTATCACTGTTTTTGCAGAGGTGCTCAGAATACAACAGTTTAGAAGCAGACACATATAAAGATACACAACATATCCCTCCAAACTGCCAATATCCTAAACCCCTCCTTTAAAGTGCAGGCATTGTACTTCCCATTTCCAGGACTCAAGTCCGACTATATGAAAATAACCAGTTTCCCTGAATCCCTTCACTAAATATTACCTTGCTCACACTCCAACAGATCGTCAGGTCCCAAGTACCATTCGTCTCCATTCACTCCTATCTAACATGCTCTCACACGCGTTTATAAAGAAGCTGGATAATTACCATAGGTGGAAAGGGCTTGGAAGATGCAAATATCGAATTCTATTATTTAACTTTATGAAAGGTCAGGATTTCACGTAAACTTCTGGATTGTGATGGAATTGGAGATTCACTGCATGAATGTGTAGCTGATAAATCTGAAGCAACTGCATGATGCTATCATGTCAGCATGAATCAGAATCTATCTCTAAGAAATGTTTCCAGTCACTTGTTGAATTCTAGCTGGAGCTGCAACTGCAACTAGAATGTTGCTGCAGTGCTATTACTGCATCACAATAAGGAAACATGCAGGACATCAGATAGTGTGACCAAAACAAATTGTTTAACAATTGAGTTGAAGTAGTCACCACTGTGGGTGGATCTAAGTTTGCAGTTGTAGGCATAAGATCAACAAAGAAGAGGTTGACCATTGCTGAAGTTGATTTGGGAGGTAGGAGAGGAGCTGGAATAAGGTAACCCAAGAATTGGCAGCCCTGGGACATCCTAAGCTAGAGATTTTGGTAGAGGAGTTTTAGTAGGTAGTGGTGGTAGACCCAGTAGGACATCAGGCAAGGTCAGTAACAAGTGCAAAATCAGCAGGTTAGGCTGCACCAACAAAGGTATCTGAGGAAGAGAAGAATTTTGCAAAGGTAAAAAGTGTGATGGGAGTGGGATATGACTATTATATCACTTTAGTGTTGTTGATGGTTACTTCTGTCTTACCACTGCAGCAAGTTCTTTGACTTTGTATTTTATCACTGAAGGATCCTTCATATCTGCAAAGGATGCCAACATGGATGAAGATGTAGATGGAGTGATCTTATCAAGGATGATAAGTTACTGTGTGGATGGGTGTAACATATATAACTTGTCAAAATAAAGGAGATTGGGAAGGCAGTATGACCTTGTAGGTTTAGTGCTTTGTTTTGTTTATAATAATGGTAAAGCATTAGATCCCATTAGAAAAGATGCTGTGATGCCAGTGAAGAGCTCATCATCCAGAGAATTAGAGCTGCTCTCCAATTCCTTGGATTAAATCTGATTGCCTGCCATTTTCCTACGTGCTATATGGCTCCTATGAGTTTAGCTCTCCCTTATTCTGTAAATAAATAAGGCGAATGATATTGACGAGAACCTCGACCAAAAAAAGGGGTGGAGCTATGTTAGTTCAGTTGCTGTAAAACTAAATTTCCTTCATTACTAGTAAGATGCTGAGGAACCCAGATAAAGCTTTTAAAGTATTGTAGTTATGAGTAGTCCATTCCTCCCTTCTGCCATCCAATACCCTCGCTTCCTTCCCTACCCTGCAGCGCTGTATAGCCCTTGTGGCTTAGCGCTTCTTTTTGATTATAATAATAATATGAGTAGTCCAGAGCTGTATAGCCCTTGTGGCTTAGTGTTTTTTTTTTTTTTTTTATAATAATAATAATAAGGTACCAGAAAACTACAATTTGGGTGAATTCATTAAGTGTCCACCATCATAATTTTGGGCCATCTAGGGAATCTGTTGTAGATTTTATGGTTGGGTTTTTGGGCAACTCATCAGTCACTAATGTAGCTAAAAGCACTAGCAGTGTGCTATTCTCTCAAGAGGTATCCAGGAGAAGTACAAATTTTGTATGCCAAATCAAGAGGATGTATAATACACTAATAGTGTATAGTATTGAAAGAAACTTCTTTGTAGAACATATACAAATGCTGATAAGGTAGAAGGCTTGGTTACTACTAATTGATATTAATTGGTTGATAAGCAAGATCCAAAGGCCTGTACTGGGTGAAGTATGTACATAAGCATTTGGTGACTGATTTGGGAGTCTCCAAGTTTTGTGTTGATTCCTAGCTGTCCATCACTGATTACAGTTTCTTGTAGTTCACTGATAATGATGCTAAAACTATGGCTGTATTCTGTAGGTTTAGTGCTTCTTCTTTGATTATAATAATAATGTATTCTTTTGTGATATGCAGTATCAAACCACTATTTTAGAGGAAAAATGTGTTATCTTTTTTAGCTGGTTGCCTTACCTTAACTCCTCGAGGGAGGTTTCTTGAGGCTGTTGAGAGGGCTCTTGATCCAAGGAATTTAACTTCCTATGGATCAGACTTTATTGCCTCCCATTCCCTAAGCTTTGTATGACCTCTGTCTGTTTATGCTTTTCCCTAAATTGAAATAATAATCCTTTGATGACTTCTGTGATCTACACATTACTTTTATTCCTCACTTGCCCTTCGTTCAGGAGGGACTACCCTGATGCTGGTCAGGCGCTCTCCATCGAAGACTGATCCAAGAAGTTTTGAGGGCTCTTCTTCCTTAGATTGAACCTGATTCATTCCTATTTCCAAGGTGCTGTATGACCCCTGCAGGTGTAGCACTTCCCTGTGAATGTAATAGTCCAAGAAATTATATCTGCCCTTACATGGATCATGCCTGGTTGATCCTAGTGGGTTTAGCATTTCTTTTTTATTATAATAAATCAAACCTGATAGCCTCTCATTCCTCAGGCTGTATGACCTGTTTTTTTTTTTTTTTTTTATTTTAATCGAGGAAGTGCTAAACTCTTAAGGGTCATGTAGAGCCTGGGAAATGAGGATGATTTGGGTTTGACTTGAAGAGGGAGAGTAGAGCTGTATAACCCTTAAGGGTTTAGTGCTTCTTTATTATTATTATAATTTTTTTTTTTCTCAACAAGTCGGCCGTATAATAATATGATCATAATAAAAATCAAGGAAGGAAAGAATGTCAAGTCTTTGCATCAAGAGCCCCTCACCAGCATCATGGAACCTTCCTTGAGGAGTTCCAGACTCACTTAGCATGTCTGTGAAATAATCGATCCACTATTCCTCTCGTTCATTTCATTGTGGGTTGTACCAAGGTTGTGCATCATTACTGACATTTCATGTAAAGCTCAATTTTGCCCTATTATAAGGGTTAGTTTAATTACTCTTCAGTTTCATTAAATTGACCGGCTTCACCTAAAATTACTTGTACTCGACTAGTTATATTGAACAATATAAGGCTAATGTTGTGGTTCGGATATTTAGGTGATCCATTGCCAAATCTTTGATGTTTGATGTAACCCTTTGTGATTTGATTTTTTTTGTCTCTGTAATGTCATATCAGTAAAAAAAAATTTAAATATTTAAATGTGCATTTTATTTATAAATTCTGTAAACTTTTCTCCATTTTTGTAAAAACAGCACCACTCCTGTATGGAAATTTAAAGCTCAACTGAGTTGAAATATATTTAACAAAATTTGTTCCAATTTCTTGGTCACAACTGCTCGTACAGTGGAACCTTGGTACTCAAACTTAATTCATTCCAGAAGGCTGTTTAAGTGCTGATTCATTTGAGTATCGAACAACTTCTTCCCAACCAATTTTCTTTTTGGTTGGCTGTTATCACTAATCTTTGTAGGCCCCATGGTAACTTGTACAATTTTTTTGTTGTTTTTTCAACAAGTCGGTTGCCTACCATTGAGGCAGGGTGACCCAAAAAGAAAGAAAACCCCCCCAAAAAATACTTTCATCATTTAACACTCTCCTCACTCACACATAATCACTGTCTGCAGAGGCACCCAGATACAACAGTTTAGAAGCATATACAGTGGTACCCCGAGTTTTGGCTGCTTCCCAACAAAAAACATTTATGTAAGTGTTTTTTGGGGGTATGAAATGGACTAATCTAATTTACATTATCCCTTATGGGAACAAATTCGTTCAGTAACGGCACTAAAACAGCCTTCTGGAACGAATTATGGCCGAAACTTAGGGTTCCACTGTATAAAGATATATAATGTACCCCTCCAAACTGCCAATATCCCAAACCCCCTCCTTTAAAGTGCAGTCATTGTACTTCATGTTTCCAGTACTCCAGTTCGGCTATACAAAAACACCCCCTCAAGGAAGGTTCCTTGATGTTGGTGAGGGGCTCTTGATTTAGGGAATTGGATCTGTGCTCCAGTTCCCCGAATTAAGCCTGAATGCCTTCCACATCCCCCCCCAGGTGCTGTATAATCCTCCAGGTTTAGCGCTTTCCCCCCTTTTTTTTTTTTATTAACACACTGGCCGATTCCCACCAAGGCAGGGTGGCCCGAAAAAGGAAAACTTTCACCAACATTCACTCCATCACTGTCTTGTCAGAAGGGTGCTTTACACAACAGTTTTTAAACTGCAACATTAACATCTCTCCTTCAGAGTGCAGGCACTGTACTTCCCATCTCCAGGACCCAAGTCCGGACTGCCGGTTTCCCTGAATCCCTTCATCAATGTTACTTTGCTCACACTCCAACAGCATGTCAAGTATTAAAAACCATTTGTCTCCATTCACTCCCCGCTGTATAGCCCTTGTGGCTTAGGGCTTCTTTTTGATTATAATAATCCATTCACTCCTATCAAACACGCTCACACATGCCCGCTGGAAGTCCAAGCCCCTCGCACACAAAACCTCCTTTACCCCCTCCCTCCAACCTTTCCTAGGCCGACCCCTACCTCGCCTTCCTTCCGCTACAGACTGATACACTCTTGAAGTCATTCTGTTGCGCTCCATTCTCTCTACATGTCCGAACCACCTCAACAAGCCTTCCTCAGCCCTCTGGACAACAGTTTTGGCAATCCTGCACCTCCTCCTAACTTCCAAACTACGAATTCTCTGCATTATATTCACACCACATATTGCCCTCAGACATGACATCTCCACTGCCTCCAGCCTTCTCCTCGCTGCAAAATTCATCACCCATGCTTCACACCCATATAAGAGCGTTGGTAAAACTGTACTCTCATACATTCCCCTCTTTGCCTCCAAGGTCAAAGTTCTTTGTCTCCACAGACTCCTAAGTGCACCGCTCACCCTTTTCCCTTTATCAATTCTATGATTCACCTCATCTTTCATAGACCCATCCGCTGATGCATCCACTCCCAAATATCTGAATACATTCACCTCCTCCATACTCTCCCTCCAATCTGATATCCAATCTTTCATCACCTAATCTTTTTGTTATCCCCCTTGATTATAATAATAATAATAATGTACAAAAACACGTAACTGGTTTCCCTGAATCCCTTCACTAAATATTACCCTGCTCATACTCCAATAGCTCGTCAGGTCCCAAAAACCATTCATCTCCATTCACTCCTATCTAACATGCTCACACATATACCACAGATACCTCAATGCACCACTCACCTTTTTTCCTTCATCAATTCTGTGGTTAACCTCATCCTTCATAAACCCATCTGCTGACAATTCAACTCCCAAATATCTAAAAACATCCACTTCTTCCATACTCCCTCTCTCCAATGTGTTATCCAGTTTTTCTTTACCTAAATCATTTGATACTCTCAACATCTTATTCTTATCTATGTTTACTTTCAACTTTCTACCTTTACATACACTCCCAAACTCGTCCACTAACCTTTGCGACTTTTCTTTAGAATCTCCCATAAGCACAGTATCATCAGCAAAAAGTACCCGTGTTGACTCCCATTTTGTATTTGATAACCCATAATTTAATCCCACCCCCCAAAACCCTAGCATTTATTTCTTTTACAACCCCCATATATAAATATATTAAACAACCATGGTGACATTACACATCCCTGTCTAAGACATACTTTTACCAGGAAGTAGTCTCCCTCTCTTCTACACACCCTAACCTGAGCCTCACTATCCTCAAAAACTACAACATATAGTAACTTACTACCTATTCCATATACTTGCAACATCTGCCACATTGCTCCCCTATCAACTTTATCATATGCCTTTTCTAAATCCATAAATGCAATGGAAGCTTCCCTACCTTTATCTAAATACTGTTCACATATATGCTTCAATGTAAACACTTGATCTACACATCCCCTACCCACTCTAAACCTCCTTGCTCATCTGGAATCCTACTCTCTGTCTTACCTCTAATTCTTTCAATAATAATAATACCGTAGAAGTAAATTATGTATTCTTTTTTGTAGGACAGTCAATTGGTACACTACTGGTGCAATCCGAAAGCCATTGCAGAGAGGTAGCAGATACTTCTCCATTTGGTGCCTATGGGCAAGTTGTGCAAGTCCAATTTGTAAGCATGGGAGTGTAGGCCAGAAGACATACTAGTTAAGTGAGCAAGTTTTGGATCAGTTTAAGGCTAAAATTGTTCTGAAATAAGTGTCAGATTGGTGAGAAATGATCACTTTTGGAAGGTTTTCCTGGGAAAGGGTGGGGTCCTTCCCTGCCCATATCAGCTTCAATTATTGGAGCAGTCCAAACTATGAGCAAGCATTCTTTGTTGTGGTTTATTAGCCAAGAAAAAGGGAAAATGTTGATTTTTGATATATGACAATGAGCAGATGTATAGGAAAGGCCTGATCATGATTAATTCCCTTGGCAATTTTGCTATTGCATGAAGTGGCCGTGCATGACTTTTAACTTTGTTCGTGTATAATTTTTTTCTTTTTCAAAACTGAAATAGAGCCTTGGGGCCTTGGACAGTTTAGAATTAAGGGACTGATGGTGGAATATTCCTTTCAAAAAACAAATAGACGAGCGCAGAGTTTCAGGTTTATAAGTAGGATACTTGTGGAAAATATTTTAATTTTCCGAAGCTATAGTGCCTAATAGATGTTTAATGTGTTGACATGGGTCAAAAATGTATTTGAAAATAGGATAGAACCAAGAGTTCCCTTTGCGCCTGCGCGGATATGCGGGGGTAGAGGTTGACTCGGGGCATGGGAGAGGCGGCAGTGTTTTGAATGGGTTTAATTATTATTGTTATAATCAAGGGGGAAGTGCTAAACCCGGAGGATTATACAGCGCCTAGGGGGGGATGTGGAAGGCATTCAGGCTTAATTCGGGGAACTGGAGCACAGATCCAATTCCCTAAATCAAGAGCCCCTCACCAACATCATGGAACCTTCCTTGAGGGGTGAATGGGTTTGAGGCTGTGAAAACATGGGACCAGGAAATTGGCGTTCACGGTGGCCTAAGGATTAATATAGGCCTCACTTCATAATAGGAAGAGTCGTGACTGTCCCTGGTGAAGAGTGAGGGAACGTGATTGACGGCACTGCTGTAAATAAGGTGGTAAAATGAGTGAATAATGGAAGGACCGGGTGGTGACTGGCGCGTCGCCATGGACTGTGTCCCGGGGAAAAATACCCGTGATTTAATCATCACTCATCGGTCTCAAATCTTAATGGAGTGGCCTCCAATGTGTATAATAATTATGAGACATTAAACCGTCTTGTAAATCGTAATGTAATCAGTGATAATAACACTAAGTTAAGGAATCGTTGAAGCGATATGAGCTGCCATTCCCAGAGTGTGTGTGCACATGTTTACCTCGTTGTTCCTGTCCCGAGGATAGTGAAGGTTTTATGGAGTCACGACTTCTAAACCGGGACAAACCGACGGATACCTCGTCCTGCTGGAATAAGAACCATGTCGGTGTAGCAGGACATTGAAATGAGATGGTGAATGGAGGAAATAAGGAGTATCAATCACCCACAGTTAAGTAACCCTTCTAGTTATAGCAGACTGATACTGGCCGGTTAGGTATGTTGTAATTGGATAGGTTATGAGTGATCCAGCTACATCAAGTGACCACCAGAGAATATCTGGTAAGTGGTCAGATTATGTACAAGTGTTTTTCCTTGATGGATATATCCATGTGTAACCCCCCCCCCCTTCATTCAGTTACACTAATATAATCTATACAGTCCACAATTAATTAGTAGCACCGTACTTGTGGGTGCTATCCAATCCATACTGGTCTCGGATAGATATGGATAAGATTGTGAGGTCGAAGGAACCACCTGCCGTGACCAGGGGTGGTTAAGTTTTCTCACATGTCTACACGGGGTGACTACGGTAAACAATATGGTTGTCTCCCAATGAGTTTACTTGTATGCATGTAATGTTGAGGTACATAAAGGTAATCACCCTAGAAAATTTTCCATAGTACTTATTGTCTGTTAACCTGGCATTCTAGCAACTTTCAAACTACACCAGTGAGAGTGACGGGTCTGTAATAAGAAGTGTCTTTGCCTGAGAGACCTGGCTTTCGAAAGGTAGGATAATTGTGATATTACACTAAAGAGGGAGAGCTGCTTTGAGCTAAATGCAACTAAAAAAGCTTGAGATGAAGACTCGTCCCATG